ATATAAGACATGGGGAACAGAGTAATGTTTGTTATCATTTCGAAATGGGAATGTCATGCTGAATGTCAGCAATACCTTACATATCGCTACCATAGCAACCATCGAAATGTATTTTGAACGCCTATGCCCGTATATTGCTTCGTGCAACAGAACATCCGGCTGTTAATGTCTACTCATAATTACTTAATCCCTGCTGTTGATGTTCCATCTAAAACTGGGAATTATTCGTGTTAGGAGATTGTCATGCAGGTCTTGGAAAAACATGTAATATTAATGTAAACAAAAGTAACTTTATTGGTTCGAACTGTCATGGGTATGGGCATGAGCTAGTCAATAACACATCCTTTTTGCTTGCAATACACAAATTTAGTCACATTACCATACTACTCACACCGTGTCAAGCGGTGGAAACAATTTAATACTAGTCCCTATAGACGAATTGATGATGTTTTGTGCAGGTTAATATTTTGGTGTAATTAGATTAAAATATTGAAGAGCATTATGCGGGTACAAAAGGTGTAGTGACCTCACCAAAATTTGTTTGCGTATTTTGAATGATGAGCGATCATATAAAAAAATATGTGTTGTTGCAAGTTAGATAAACAGTTTTAAAAAACTAATTTAAATAAAATGAATACCGGTGCAAGTTATAGTACTATTGATAATAGGGCCTATGATATGTTTATGATATCTGGCCAAGACGCAATGGTGTTTCTGTCATGAGTTAGCGCGAATTACTTTGATTTCGATTTATTTCATAAAGTTACATTTACATTCACATGCGTGATTACAGTAGAAAAAAAAATTAAGTATGCTATAACATATGAAAATATGAAAATGAGATGTAAGGAATCACATTTGATCTTTCCGGGGTGTCAATCGGACTTACCGTATTACTGTCAAATCAGAACAGGTCCCAGAATAATAAAATGTGATTCAACTTCTAGAACATCATTTAAATGTACACTTACGCAGGACTTAATTAGAATATACAACATGCATGTGTCTTGCTTGGGATTAATAATGTTGATTTACGGAATTATATTATTAAGTCCTATTTTAGTTATTCTTATTCATCAGCAGAAATACCTTCCCTTACAGGATAGAGTTTTTTTAGCAAAAAAAAAAAAAAAAAAAAAAAAAAAACCAACAACAATCAGGCCTATAAACAGACCTAAACTCTACAGAGGCACATTGAATCAATTGATAGTATAAGCATGCTACTGGACTATGCGCCCGTAGGGCGTACGGGCAGAGCGGACTGATTTTGTTCGCATACATCGACCTCAGTGTTTCATTTTTTCGCCTACACCGCGTTCGAAAAAATGCACTGCCCGTGATCGGTGCTCTACAGGGAATAAATAACACGTTAGATGAAATGTACGTTTTTGTTGTTACATTGCCGCTTCCTATTATTAGATTTTAAAAGAGGTACACAAAGTGGTGATTCCTGCGATCGTTGCCTTGTTTTTTAGATGAGAGGGGTTGGATTAGAAGCTTTATATGGCCGCTAGCATTGAACATTCGAACAAGAAAGTCACGAACCAAAAATAAGCCGCGGAAAATACCTCTTCTTAGAACTTGTAAAATGTCATCCATAAGACACGATTTCATCAATACATAACTTATAATGTACCGGCAAGCAAATTAATGTAGACAAGAAATCAATATAAGTAAAGGGCGCCGAAGTATTTGTCAGAGCATTCGACTTAAGTCAGATTAGCAAACGTGTAGGCCTTTGAGAATAATTTCAATGAAGCAGGCGCGATGCTTTGAATTTTCAGTTGATTTATCGTGCAAATCGTTTCCTTTAGTGGACATTTCGACGATATTGAACCCGATTACAGAGTGCAGTCGCTTTCGGTCGTGCTTTTACCGTGTTAGCCTTATACAAAATAAATAGTATTTTCACACTTGGGTGGAGAATTGGTTTGTAGAACAGATTAACAACATTGCCTGCGATATGAAGCTTCGTTTTTTTTGTAGGCATCAAATTGATTATTTGCTAAACGCCGATTCAGCTAAACACTTGTATTGATGGTATTGCATTACAAATATCGTATTATACCCGAATATGACATTATGACATTCGAGATCATCCAAAATTGGCTTCAGTTAGTTGCTGATACTGTGAAGTGTATTCCCTGTTGCGATTACATTATAGTACGGCTCAGATACGTGATTGTATGTGGATCTTTATTGTTCGATAAATAAATTGAAACCAAAGTGGGCCTGGTCGAGCTTCGATTAAAAGGTTTCGAAAGTGGTCACAGGGGGCGAAGCCCCCAAAATTTTGACAATTTAGGGGTTCATAGGCTTATTTAATCGATTTTAGAGTCTACTAATATGTAGAAAATACATATATTTTTTTTCTCCCCGACGAATTGAGCTTTTTCTCCCCGACGGGGAGGTGGGAAGCTCTCCCCGACGGGGGGAGGCCCTGGACCCCCCCCCCTTTTCTACTGCATTAATTTATGATTGAATGTGTTCTAACGCCAGAAAATATAAGAAAAACATATATATAGTCCTAAACTTCTACTATAATAATTTAACATTTTTTTAACAGGTAACTGCCAGTTAAAAGCCGATGGCTATCTACAGAAAATTGTAAAAATATTTAAGCTCTGCTCTGCGCCCCCTATCAACTGCAGCATGTTGTCTTCAATTTTACATGTCCAGATTGGCCTATTTCATTTTGTTCCTGAGGACTTTAACGCGATATATGCCTCTTAGAAATCGATTCGAACTTCGATCAGTTGGCATCTGTTAAATCATAACGGAACTGATCGAAATTAGATATTTAGGATTAGATAAAATAACAAGAATTGTATTTTTCTACTTTAAACCTACTGCACTTAATTTTATCTGATTTTATCTAGCCTAAATCCAGGCACTCACGGTTCCCTGCGGTCGTCAGCCGACGCGATTATGTAGAACGCTACGTCAAGACGAGCGCGCCACGGATCGTTTTTAATGACGATCCGTTCATACTGTCAACGACCAACCAACAAACAGCGTCGCGTCGTCAAACGCTCACAGGGGGCGGAGTTGGATTCGTCGGCCGACGGTTGTATGCCCGTCGTACGACGCAGTGAGTGTCCGGTTTAAGCGATCGAATATAGAATGTTCTACAAAGAATACAAACCGCATGTAATTCGTTGTAATTTAATAAAGACAAAAATATTTCTTGAAGGTTTGCGTGTTGAAGATCGTGATCATATTTCTACCCGCTACCAAACATAGGCTTACTATACAATATATAATTTGATTACTAAGCCATAACATTGTAAATGTAGGCTAATTGTCAGTGGCGTATCTAGAATTATTGAAATGGGGGTGATAATGGGGGTGCGCGAAGGTGAAGTGAGAGGGGAACGATGATCAGTTGAGGGGCGCTTATTCGCAAAATAAGGTGATTTTTAACTACTTGACAGTGATTTCATGGTGGTTGGGGGGGGGGGGGGGAGTAATTTTATTGGGGGCGCCCCCTCCCCTCGCGCATCCCTAGGTACGCCATTGCTTTTCGTTTGTATGTCACGAGTCATGAGCTTGAACTTCTCACTACACGTGGCTAATTATCTCATATTCTCGTTCACCCGAGTCGATATTTTTATATTATCTGCATTTATGGATCTCAATATCCATTACGGTATCAATGATATTTTTTAAAGTGATGCGCTGGTGTAGAATAACTTGATATGACCTAGCATCACTTTACTGCACGCTCTATATAATTACATACCGGTACGCGCATGTACAGGGAAATGTCGTATGGATAAGCAACATTGTGTAAATAGCCCTGTAGACTTATAAGAAGGCCTGTACGTAACCAGCCGCGACTAATCACGGATCTAATACAAAAAGCGCTGGTTATTAGCCACAACATTACATGCAATTCCCTCAAGGAACTAAGTATAATCTTCCATCTTCCGGCATTGTTCCAATTACGCTTATGCCTTTGAGTGATACACAATGTAAGATAAACATAACTGTTACATTATACCGAAATAATTAACTTGATACTTTAGGCCTAATACCGAAATGATTAACTTTATTTAAACAAAACGCAAGTCCTGTGTAAGACTTTAAGGCGTGTGTATCTAGTGGCGTATCTAAAAGTCTTGAAATAGGGGGTGCTGATGGGGAGGGGGAGCGAAAGTGAAACGGGGGTGCTCGATGATGAAATGAGGGCGCTAACTCGCAAAATTAGGTGATTTTTAACTACTTGCAAGTTGTTTGGTGGGGCGAATGGAGAAGGGTCTCGAGTAATTTTTAGAGGGGCGTGCGCCCCACCCCCGCGCACACCTAGATACGTCACTGGTTCAAAAGCTGCATCAACGGGTTCGGGGACGACTACAGCCGGCAGCCCCATTTTTTTTTATGTTTTCGACCACTGAAAAGAAAGAGTAGGATGGTCACCCCGCAGCAATAAAAATCACAGCTGATCAAAATGGGGGAATGAATTCTGTGGAGTTTACGGTTTTAGGTTGGATTAAGAATTCTAAAAATAAATATGAATATATCTAGTGCAGAAAGTTCTGCTTCCATAACATCGCTAACATGCTATTGCAGACAGCTTTTGACGAGGCTGATAGGTCGGTCGAATCGGGGAGAGTCGGCAAGGCTGAGTGGTCGGTCAAATCGGGGAGAATTTCTGGTTGCGTTGGGGACAGCGCAGTGTAGATATTTCGACTACAGCTTTTTGTGGCAACGCTGATTTGGTCGGTCGAATCAGGGAGCGTTTCTTGATTGCGTTGACGACAGCTATGTAGTGTAGAGATTTCGCCGAAAGCTTTTGGCAACGTTGACTGATCAGTCGAAACGGGGTGGGGGGGGGGATGGGCTCGTTTCTGATTGCGTTGGCGACAGCTACGCAGTGTAGACATTTTGCCGACAGTTTTTATAGCTTTATTCGCCTTTTGTATTCGAAATTTATTCTGATTAAGTCATGGTGTCACAGGCCTACCCCTATGTTTGTTATGCTGTATGTTTCGTCACCTTCGCCAATTCAAATTGGAGACGTGACTATGCGGATCATCAGTTTCCAATGATGCTTGACATGAGCATACTCTGGGCGATGCTCATGAGAATAGCATAATTATATAGAAATATATATATATATATATATTTTTTTTTTTTTTTTTTTTTCTTTCTTT